CTTATCTTATCTTATCTTATCTTATCTTATCTTATCTTATCTTATCTTATCTTATCTTATCTTATCTTATCTTATCTTATCTTATCTTATCTTATCTTATTATTTATTGATTTCCAACTAATGAAAAGCTTAAATGATTGGATCTGGAAACAAAGAGCAAAATGGACTTAAAGTGTGATATTTTAAAATGTAAAGATTGATCTCTGTGTGCGTGTGTTTTACTTATTTATTTACGTTTCACAGGTTATAGGCACGCCCTCTGTGGCCTGGCTTTTAAAGCAGCTCGTCCCACTGATGAGAGCTGAGAGTCTGGAAATCACAGAGTCCCTAGTGCTGGGATTCGGATGCACAAATGCTCTGGTCTTCAGGTACTGGAACAATAACCTACACAACAGTAATAAAACACAAATCCTGCTTTGATGATGTTAGCCTTGGTTTCAGTGCTAATGTTATTCTTGCCTTTGGCAGAGAATGTACTGAAAAAGACTGAATAGACAGAACAAATACAGTTCTAAGTAGATGATATGCCAGATTTGATCTGAATCTCTCCCATGAGAAAGACACGATTCTTCAGTGGGTTTTATCTTACCTACTCTCACCTGTCTGTTTATGAGCTGCATACCTGACACTGAGAGAAGAAAATGAGTCAGTGATGTAGAAGAGAAATTCTTGGAGGGGCAGAGACATATCACATTTTTTCAAAGCACAGAGGTTCCATTGTGACAGGATGGCATTTTCATTCTAAAGGAGATCAGCTATTTTTAACCTAGAGTATTTTCTGAAAAGGCTCTCATTGTTATTAAAAAGATTAAGGTCTGCCCAGACAAATTTGTTCCGTCATTACGGCGTCTGAGGATTAGTGGTTTTAGGGAACATGACATTTGGGTTGCACTGCATAGATTTATGTCACACATCTTCATTGTTCCCATGAATAATAACTATTTATATACAGGGGAGGATATCTCATTTAGCATTTTGGCAATCAGGTCATTGATTGATTGATTTTTTTTCTCCCTCAAACAGGGAGCTTGTCGAAGAACTCCATCCGTTGATGAAAGAAGCACTGGAACGTAGGCCTGAGGTAAAACACACACCGAGGTTGTGAGAGAAAACTGACTGTGCAAGATTGAGAATATTTTCTAGATTAAGTATAAAACTAGATTACTATAAAATCAGGGCTGTAGCTGATGTTTTCCATAGATTAATAATGTTTTGTTTATGAAAATGGAATATAGGTTTTGTCCACAGTCCACTATAATCAGAAGTACTGCATGTTATACTGATACTTTGGGCTGATTGGGACATGATGAATGTAAAAACAAAGAATTACCAGATTTTGTTTGACCTAATTTTTGTTTCTAAGACAAATGAGAGCCACATATAAGGATATTCATTTAAAATTTCGATAGAACATTAGCTGTATAATGTCCTTGTAAGTGGATATCAGGCCCTTGTAAAGCAAAACTGAGTATTTTGGTCTAAATAACCCAAAATGTGATGTCTACATATGTGGACCCCGGGTCCTAGGAGGTTAATCACGATTTTGGACTTTCACTGTAATTTTTTTTCCTTAACATTTTAAAGCTTTTCCTACTGACAAATGACCATGGCCATATATACTACACCAAAGTAAAGGAGTAATAGATGAACATTTAAATGACAGAAAAGTTCAATTTTGTCCAAAATCTACAATAGAAAGAAAGAGTTAATTGCTAATTTCTTCCATTTACTACAGCAGTATTCCATTATCCTGTAGAAAAACAGAAATACTGCACTTCTTTTTTCTTAGCTGAAGATATCTGAGGGATTCAGTGTGTAGTTCAAGTTTTTTACACTGACAAAAAGGGGAGATTCACTGGTCTGACCTACTTAAGGTCAGAGTTGGTGGATTGTGGCCCAGGAAGTAAAATGACTTTGACATCCTGGATCTGCTTTGTGGCAGGAAACTAACAACCTGTCTGTGCTTCCAGAACAAGAAGCGTAGAGAGAGGAGGGATCTTCTCAGGCTGCAGCTGCTGAGGATATTTGAACTACTGGCTAACGCAGGAGTCATCAGTGACAGGTAGCACATACATGTATCATGCACTGAGTCATCTCGTTTTGTTTACTGGGCTTTGATCCTTATGCACACAAAAAGTTAGACTATACTCATCTCTCATCTCCTCCTGTCTGTAACTCTAGTCTCGTTTAGTTTACCAAGGTCATATTTTCCTCCTTGTTTTCCTGTAGCACTAATGGAGCTCTGGAGCGTGATTCCCTGGCCTTGGGTGCTTTATTCCTCGAGTACGTGGACTTAACCCGGATGCTTCTAGAGGCTGAGAATGAGAAAGAACTGGACGTGCTCAAAGACATACGAGCTCATTTCAGTGGGATGGTAGCCAATCTCATCCAGTGTGTGCCTGGTAAGATTATTATTTTACTTCTTACCCTTTTAATTTTATAGCTTAATTTTATAGTAATTTTCTAGTTTGACTACTACACGTCCATTTTTCAGTAGCAGGCAACATACTGGCCTTTTCGGAGTCCTTTTGTCTCTTGTTCTCACCCTCAGTGTCTCTCTTTCTTTCTCTCACGTCTGTGCAGTCCACCACAGGCGCTTCCTCTTCCCTCAGCAGTCTCTGAGGCACCATCTCTTCATTCTCTTCAGCCAGTGGGCCGGGCCCTTCAGTGTTATGTTTACGCCTCTTGACCGGTACAGTGACCGCAACCACCAGATCACTCGCTACCAGTATAGTGCTCTCAAGGTAAGCAGGTCCCAAATCACCAAACTTCTTTTTGCAGTAATTCAGGATATTTTACAGAAATATAAGCATTGCTTTGCTTTTGTCTCCCAGGCCATGTCAGCAGTTCTGTGCTGTGGTCCAGTTTTTGACAACGTGGGTCTCTCTACTGATGGTTATCTCTACAAATGGCTTGACAACATCTTGGCCTGTCATGACTTACGGGTAGGTGGACTCAAGGATTTCTTGGTTTAACTTGTTGTACAGTTAGCTCTCTATGACATGTATTTTGGCATTTTAGTTTAATCTAAGAAGTTACAAATCAGTTTTTAATACATGCACCACAACACAATAACATGTCGTCCTTTAGGTGCATCGTCTGGGGTGTGAGGTGGTCATTCTGCTTTTAGAACTGAATCCAGATCAGATCAACCTGTTCAACTGGGCCGTGGACCGCTGCTTCACTGGGTCTTACCAGCTTGCATCTGGCTGCTTCAAGGCCATCGCCACAGTGTGCGGTAACAGGTCGGGAATCACACCCTGGTTCTAATCTGAACTCCTGATGTTTTTACCATCAGGGAACAGATGTAGATATAAAGCTTACTTTATTTACCACGATGCCCGCTTGCTTGTTAATACTCATTGGTTGAGTTCTTACAGTAACCAATAGCTCTTTCTATTTATTATGCCAGGAATTATCCATGTGACCTTGTGACTTTGCTCAACCTCGTGCTGTTCAAAGCCTCAGACACCAGCAGGGAAATATATGAAATCTCCATGCAGCTGATGCAGGTATGCTCACTTTCATGGCACATATTAAACAAAGTCATAAAGCCAAAACCTGGCAAAGATTTAAAAATAAATGTTTCCTGCAGGTGCTGGAATCTAAGCTGTGTGCATACTCCAAGCGGATGGTGGAGCAGAAGCCTGGTAATATTTTGTATGGGACGCACGGCCCCCTCCCTCCTCTGTACAGTGTCAGCCTTGCGCAGCTCTCCATCCAGCTTGCCAGCATGTACCCAGAGCTCACGCTGCCTCTTTTCTCAGGTAAATTCTTCTCGTCTGTTCTTCTGTGGAATTCTTCCAAATGGTACAAATGCAACAAAAAAGAACAGCTAGATATAAACTAACTAATATATCTATATGCATTTTTAGAAAAAGGTATCTCCTTAAACTTTAATGTGGAAGAGAAGTTAATAAGGAAGCAGCATAAGTTAAAGAAAAAAATGAATAAGTGAATTCTCCTGGTATTTGCAGAGGTGAGCCAACGTTTCCCAACCACCCATCCTAATGGCAGACAGATCATGCTATCCTACCTGCTACCCTGGCTTAGTAACATTGAGCTAGTGGACACAGGTCTCTTACCTCCTGCTTCAAGTCCCTGCACACCAGAGGAAGAACCTCGAGGTCAGGCTCGGGGCCTGAGTGCATCCCCCAGCCTGAGAGGCAGCGGCTGGGGCTCCTTGCAGGCGACATCATTGGTGCTCAACAACCTCATGTTCATGACTGCTAAGGTGGGAAGCCGAGTTAGTTCTTACTTGTGAAAACTCCCAAATGCACCTCTAGCTTTCTAATTAGATTTTTTTCTCTTTACAGTATGGAGATGAGGTTCCCGGACCAGAGATTGAGAATGCCTGGAACGCTCTAGTGTCGAACGAGAGGTGGAGCAACAACTTGCGAGTCACCCTGCAGTTCCTCATCAGCCTGTGTGGTGTTAGCAGTGACACCACATTACTGCCTTATGTAAGAGCATTTTTTAGTTAAATGCAGTAATCCTCACAAAGATATCATAACAAATATGCAGAAGTAATGCAAATAACCCAGAATTTCTAACTAATGCTTGCTCATCTGTTGTAGATTAAGAAGGTGGTGATTTACATGTGTCGCAATAACACCATCCAGACTATGGAGGAGCTCCTGTTTGAGCTGCAGCAGACCGACCCTGTCAACCCTGTGGTTTTGCACTGTGATAATCCTCCATTTTATCGCTTTGCTGCCAGCAACAAAGCCTCCACATCCCAGACAGGTGAGGGGATGTGTTCCTGTCACAGTCTGTGGAGTCAAATTAGATTTTCATCTCAACACTTACCCCTGGTTTGAACTTGACAGCTTTTTTCATGTGACAGATGGATGACTCTGCTGTGTTTCTGTTAAATGTGTAGGCACCACCTCCAGTAGTAACACCGTAGTGGCTGGTCAGGAAAACCTGCCAGAGACAGATGAGACCAAGATGGTCAGAGAGAGTGAAGAACGGTAAGTCATTTTTTATACCTTATATACTTATAGCTGCAGCATGGGTTGTCATGGTGATACAGTGTTTTATTTGGGTGAGACAGTCTCTCAAGAGGCTGTCATAAAGATAGCTAAAAAATGTCAGCATCGTATCAGTTACTGTATGTAGCGATGATAATACCATGAGGATATTGTCAATCAAATCTGGAAATGCTGAGTTTGACTTTAAATGTGGTGGATTTTTCACAGCCGGGCGAGGGCTCACAACAGACTGGAGTCTCGTTACAGCAACAGCTCCGGAGGCTCCTATGAGGATGAAAAAAGTAAGCCCTGACTTGGTTCTCATGAGGAATAAAGTACAATCTTTGACACACACAGAGCCCAGGGGTTTTCACAGCTTACAGCTGTTATTTGGAGAGACTCTGAGGATGTGGACTTTTCAGTGATAAATCTTCACCATTTTAACTTTAGACTTTAATGGTAATTGTTACTGACAGTTCTTGTGCTATAACTTCTCATCCCACATATTTTTTTTCTGGCCAGATACAGAGACTAAAAGCAAATGTTTTAAATGTGTTGTCATGCACCTTGTAATAGCAGCCATTGACATTCTTGTCAAAGTAGGTTAGATGATTCCTATAATTTAAACAGCTAGTTAAGGCCCCAGTCACACAGGCCAATTCATCAACCATCTATTATACAGCTACAGACCGAACACTGACTCCAAACGCCATCTTTCAAGCTTACTCTTTGTTTCATTCATGCAAAAAACAAAGTGTAAAAATGACAACCTCGTTTGCGCTACAGTTGGTAGTATTTTTCAAACACAATAAAATGAAGTCGCAACAAAATTGAATCACAACTACAGTATTAAGGAAAGGTAAAGGTCCCTACAATAAAACAAATACCACTTTTTATTGAGTTTTCCAGTTATGGTGGACAAGGCAAAAAGTTAAGCTTTCAATTGATTTAAAACTCCAGGTCTGTGGTAACTAATAAGCTGGAGTGGAAGATTGCTGCCACTCCCCCTCCTCGGCCTGTGCTTTGAGGATTCTCAAAGGATCAGTCCTTATGCTTTTTAAGTGAAATGGTTAATTGTGCACTACTTTTAATTCAGAATTATTGCTTTGGTGGTATATATGTTTCAGATTTTACTAACCAAATCTTTCTGTGCTCATAGATGACCCACTTCCACCTTACGCTGGATGGCTGCTGAGTATTCTCGAGACCAACCGTCCTCAGCCGTTACCCATGCCTGTTAATGGAGGCTGCTGGGCACCTCTGGTTGACTACCTTCCAGAAACTATCACACCTAGAGGACCACTGCACAGGTGCACACGAACAAACACAGATGACCTTTAGTAAACTTCTGAAAAAACAGGATCTTAGCTAGAAGAGTGATGTTACAATCAGCAGGGCCAGACAGCGTTTCAGAGACATGTTACGCCTACTTTCAGATTTTTGGATAAACTCAAGCACAGAATGAAGCCAAGCCAGCTTGCTCAGGGTCTACTAGGAAAATAGTTCATATTAAAAGAGCTTTCCCACTTAATCTTCTCTGGCTGTCCTGACACTTCAGAGATCAATACTCTAAATAAATAAAATGAAGACTGTTGTAGAGAGCTTTGAAATCTATGATCCATGTACAGTTCATGCACTAGCACAGATTACAGGAAACATCAAACATCAAATGTTTCCATCAAACATGCCAAGATTTTATTGTACTCACATAAAATTTGTGTGTTCCTCAGGTGTAACATTGCAGTGATCTTTATGACCGAGATGGTAGTAGACCACAGTGTGAGAGAAGACTGGGCTTTACACCTGCCCCTACTACTACATGCCCTCTTCTTAGGTAAGCATAACTGAACTCATGTCACGCTTGAATCGGTTAAACCCTGTATGGATTAATTTTGGGGAAAATGGGGTAAGAAAAAAAATAAGCCAAAATCGCCTGCATAGAATGTACTACATGCATTTTGGAGAATGTGGAAATGCTTGATGGGTTATATAAAAAATTCCTCAGTCTCACGCTGATAAAGCAAATGAAACACGTGGTAGATCGAAAAGAACTTGAACCAAAACAAGATAAAATCAAAAGCGCGGGTGTCAGGGTGTTTGCCACCGAAACAAACACACAAAAAAAGCCTTGAGATGTTGAAGGTATTTTCTGTGACGTCCACTGAGCTCATAGCGTGACGATGTGTTTTATCGCCATCACACAGCGACGTGGATGTGGACAGGCCGTTCTCAAGTATCACAATGAAACACTTTCAATCTAGCATGTAGACACATACCTACCCCCACCCAGATGCCAGCTGTATTATTATGCGCTCAGCATATTCTACATACTAACTTTCAAGTTCATGAGATTCAGCATCATCTGGTCTTTTTGCATGAAGTTATCCAGGAATCCATGTTTGATTGTTTAGGGTTTTTTTTTTTTAGCTTTTTTCATTCACTGTTGCACAAATTGAGGCACAACAAGCCTTTGTAATACTACAAAAGCTGTTGTTGTCTTACTCGGTGTGTACTTCATTTTCTAGGTCTGGACCACTACAGGTCAGAGGTCTATGAACACAGCAAACGTCTCCTTCTTCACCTCCTCATTGCGCTCTCCTGCAACAACAACTTTCAGGTCAGATTTCCATTTTAATGTTTGTTATTATTAGGCCAGTTTATTACATGAAGTAGGACTGAAACTTACTTTACCGAGTTCTGCAAAGCTTTACATATTCACTGAGCAACACTTCTTTTTGGGGGTCCAGGTAATAGCCTCAGTACTGATGCTGACGAGAGAGATCAGTGACAACAAGACCCTCACAATCAAGTCCAGCTACCACACAGAGTACCAGCAGTCACGTAAGTAGAAAATATTGAGTGTGTATACAAGCATTTTACAGTCCTCTGACATTTACTAGTAAGATATGACCTGATGGACCATTTTTCATTGGAAAACTAAGAAACTAAACAGTGTAGTACACAAAAATCAGATTAAAGACTCCAGAAATTATATTACTGTAGCAGTACACTTCTCTATAGCATGTCATAATATTCCTATAGACGCACCAGACTTTTTGCGGGAGTGGCAGGCATCTCCCGTGGTGGACTCTGGTCTCAGCTCCACCTCCAACTCATCCTCTGCTAGCCTGGGTGGTGGCAGCACAGCCGGCAGTGTTGGAAATCTGCCCCTTGTAACACCCGATGACCTGGAGGATCTTGAAGATGCGCCCAATGAGACGGATGAGAAGACGAACAAACTCATTGAGTTTCTCTCCACCAGGTAAACACAACTCTGGTCATCTTTTGTGCTGTTCTCGAGGTGGACACTGCGTGTGGGTGTGACGTGCGCTTAAATTTCACTGTAGTCCACACTGTGTGAGCTGCTCGTGTAACGTTTATGTGGTGCTACTGGTGGTGGGTATACAGTGCTTGGAGTACTGTGTTGTTATTGCACAGATCATTTGGGCCACTGTGGGTGCATGAGGACATCACACCAAAGAACCCCAACTCCAAAAGCACAGAGCAGCTCAGCAACTTCCTGCGCCACGTTGTCTCTGTCTTCAAGGAGTCCAAGTCAGGTGAGAAACCACTGAATAACGGCTACAGCAGACCTCACCCAATCTTCACAAATGGAGCAATAATCGACTCATTTTAGACCTGCACAAGGGGTGAAATATGTCCATCTTCACAGACTTCCACCTGGAGCAGCAGCTTAGTGACGTGGCCTTACAGACGGCTCTGTGCAGCTCCTCGCGTCACTATGCCGGCAGATCTTTCCAGATCTTTAGAGCTCTCAAACAGCCGATCAACAACCATGCTGTCTCTGATCTGGTCTCACGCCTCGTTGAGGTGGTGGGAGAACATGGAGACGAGGTGCAGGTGAGAGAAGAGACATATAATAGAGATGTAGTGCTTTCAACCTGATGTATTTGGTGAAGATTCACATTATTGCTGTTGTTCATACCTGTACCTGTTTCAGGGCTATGTGATGGAGGTGCTGTTAACTCTGGAGTCAGTAGTGGTGAATCTAGCAGAGTGTCTGAAAAACAGTGACCTTATGGCAGCTCTTACCAGGTTAGTCTGCTTTGAATGTTAAATCTTTAGAAGTAATAATAATTTGAAGATTACAACATATGTACGGATTTAAACAGCCTCCTTCTGGTGTTTCAGAGCTACTTTATAACCCCACAACATTTTGCTTTCATTGTGTTTGATTTGTAGGACATCCTCACCAGACTTTGTGACAAGTGACAAACTGATGAACAGAAAGAGCACAGGTCAGCTGAACTTCCCTGGCCCAGGATTTGTCGGCCTGTCATCGCAGCGCCACCAGCGCTCCTATTCTGTCCCCAAGAAGTTCGGCGAGTGTTGCAACCAGTCGAGTGATCCCCCTCGCAGTGCAACTCTGGATCGCATACAGGCAAGAAAGGAAAATTGCTGTGTAATCTGACACCTTAATGCTAAATCCTTAATGCTAATTTTGTACTCGCTTTCGGTCTGCAGGCTTGCAACAGTCACGGCCTTGCACGAACAGGAAGAAGTTCAGGCTCCTGCACATCATCGACAAATCGCATTGATCCCAGCGTTCTGTCGGATCCCGCGCACGTGTCTCATCCTTCGTCGATACTGGCCACAGTCTTCTGGGTGGCGGTGTCGCTCATGGAGTCAGACTTCGAGTTTGAATACCAGATGTCACTTCGCCTCGTTCACAAGCTGCTGTCAAAGGTAGATGAGATAAAAAAAATTGCTGATTACAGAGGACAATGTATGTATCTGTAAAAACAACAGTTAACTTAAAGCCAAGATTAAGCAGAAGAAAGCAAACATTCCCTGTAACCTGTGTTTTCCCTTAATGCCATGAAGACTACGTCATCCTAAGACGCTGCTATTTTAAAATGAAAGCAAGCTTTGGAACCTATTAATTCAAGGCCACCACAGACCTAGCAACTGGCTATTGATTCATTCATTGTTTTAGCATCTCAGATATTCTGTTTGCAGGTGGAAGACAATAAGTACCACAAGCAACTTTCAGCTTCACTTAAGCCAAAATCTCTCATTTCCCAGGTGCCCTTAGACAGAGCAGAGAACCGTGAGCGCCTGGAGAAGCTGCAGGCTCAGCTGAGGTGGAGCGGGTTCTCTGGGATTCAACAGCTTTTGTTGAAGGGATTTACCTCCCAGGCTACATCTGACCTGACCTTACAGCTATTCTGCCAGCTCACGCCAGTCTCCCGCGTGCCTGTTGTCGACAGCTCACAGTCTATAGGTAGGTACTGAGGATTTTATATTGTATCGTTTAGTAGTCGTACGGCAACGTGTTTATTTTTATTTATACTGGCTGTATCTGAAGTTCAAACTCTTCTCCCTGTGTAGGCTTTCCTCTGAATGTGCTGTGTCTGCTTCCTCACCTGGTCCAGCACTTTAGCCACCCAAATCAGTTCTGTAAGGAAAGTGCTGAGAGGATTGCACAGGTACTGCGATACTATGGATTCTTCAAGTGGGCTGAGTCTAGGCTTTAGTTTGCTTTTGCTTTACTTGCTTTGACTTTTTTTTAGGTTTGTTAGACAAACAGTAAAGATGTACATTTGGAGAAAGATAAAAAGCCAGAGTGGATTGGAAAAACCTGACATTTCAAAACACAGAAGAACAAGTAAAAGATCAAAAAAGGCAATATTTCTCACATAACGTGTCTGTCTGCTTTTTTGTTTACTTTCTCAGGTATGTTTGGTGGAAAAGAACACAAAGCTGTCCCATCTGGCACATGTGATGACGCTCTATAAGACACGTTCCTACACGAGGGACCCTTTCTCCTGGGTCAGCGTGGTTTGCCGCTACCTTCACGAGGCTTTCTCTGACATAACGCTCAACATGGTCACCTATATGGCTGAGGTAAGTGCTTCTATATATGAAAATATGTCTTATCTTTCTCTATTTTTAGGATTTTACATTTATTGGATGTTTCTATGGAAGCTGGTGCAAGAATGTTGAGTGAGTGGTTTGTGCTGATTATTTGTTGGAAGCCTGTCCTGTTCACTGTTCAGCCAGTTGTTAAAGGACAATCCAATAATTTATAGTCAAGTTATACAAGTTATACAAGTTGGTTATACACATATTGACTTTGCCCTTAAGCAAGATTGGGTTTATGTCTGCGTGCTTACTGAATGTGACTTTCTCTCTCCCAGCTGCTGGATAAGGGACTTCCCAGTATGCAACAGTCTCTCCTCCAAATCATCTACTGTCTGCTTAGCCACATGGACCTGACTGCTGTGCAGGTCAAACAGTTCAACGCTGATGTCCTGAAGACCATTGAGAAGTTTGTCCAGGTGAGTGTCGGACAGTACTCGGTCTTCATTTTAGAGAAATGCACTGCATGCACTGCTGTTTCTCTTACTCTGTCTTTGACATGTGACTTTATAGACAGTACACTGGAAGGATGCCTTAAACATCTTGAAGCTGGTGGTATCACGCTCTGCCAGCCTTGTTCATCCAGTGTACGGCCACACACAGGGTGATCTTTCCAACCTAGAGGTCAGCAGAGTGTGGGACGGCTCCGCTAAAGCTCTCCCTGGGAAAACTCTGGATTTCACATTTGACATCTCTGAGGTAAGAAAGCTGCTGCTACTGAGCTTCTTTTTGTAAATGCCCATCATTGACTTGCAGTTACAGTACACCCCCATGTTTTGCTAGGTCATAAATAGAAAAGGATTTCCTCAACGCATGCAATATGCAAAGCATCAAAAAATTTGCATGTCTTTCTGTTTGTTATCTTCCCAGACACCGGTGATCGGGCGCCGTTTTGATGAGCTCCAAGGATCAGGGGGTAGAGAGGGGAAAGCCAGAGCCATGGCTGTGACCCGCAGTACTTCCTCCACTTCTTCTGGATCCAATTCCAACACCATTCTGGTGCCTGTCAGCTGGAGGCGACCACAGTTATCTCAGGTAGCATCAATGCCCAAAACTAAGGTTTCACATCAGTGCTGCTTGGTTTTGTAAGACTTGTAAAAGAATATTATATTAAAATGTGTTGATCAAGTCATTCTTCTTTAGCATACTGACCTCAAATAGCCCAAGAAAAACAGATTTAAAACTTTCTGTTTATAACATGCTTAGAAATTATCCCTTGATCATCAAAGCATGAGGCATGTGAAGCGAGAAGAAAATCATCACTTTACTGATGAGTTTTTCTCCTACATGCAGAAAAGAACCAGAGAGAAGCTGGTGAGCGTTTTGTCTCTATGTGGACAAGAAGTTGGACTTACCAAGAACCCATCTGTAAGCTAACTTCCTTGTTGTACTTGTTCTTTATGTACACAGTCAACAAAATTCAAGCTTGTATTTCTGTTTTTTTTGTTTCTATTTTGTAGAGGGAGTAAAACCTCTAAAGTTTTCTGGGGATGTTTCTGTTGTTAAGATGGCTTCACTAATTGCCTCTGACAAGTCTAAAAACCTGTTTCTGTCTTCTTGTCAGGTGATCTTCTCATCCTGTGGTGACTTGGACATGATGGAGGTGCGGGAGAGCGGCGTGTCATCTGAGGACGGTGGTACCAGAGAGGACACATTAGATGACACCGCCAGTGAGCAGCAGTTTAGGGTTTTCAGAGACTTTGACTTCCTGGATGTGGAGCTGGAGGATGGAGAGGTGAGAGTCACAATAATACTGTATTTCACCTGTGGTCGTTTGATTTATGCTGACACAGTGGTCCTTTCTTTCATTTTACCTTTACTGTGTCTTTCAACTTATCCACCTGTCTTTCTTCAACATATTTGAAAAGTATTTCTCTGTCCTCCCACCTCATCTCTTTCTCTCTAACTCTGTCTCTCTCTTTCTTCCCCTCGCTGCCTAGGAGCTCCAGGTAAGTCCCTCACATTGAGTACTTAACATTAGCCTTCATCAGCTCTTTGGTGCTCCTGCCTCTTTTGTTTTGATCTGGAACGTAAAAACAAAATCCTCTTTGTGCTTCATTTTGCTCTCACGGCTTGATTGCAGAGCGACATTTATGACAGCACTGCTACTTTTTAAATAGAGATAAATATATTATAGTTATTATAAAAGATAATTTTACAGGCTGAAAACCACCTTTCCAGCATATAATCATGTATTCATGCCATGAATAACAGTCCATCTTGCATCTTGTTCTTGTAACTAAAGCAATTATTTTGTGTTTTGAGAGATTAAAGTAAAAATGTTCCCTTCATCGCAGGGATTTTACTTCTACCATTCATTGTGTCCATGTCTTCCAACATGTATGTGTGTGTTTGTTGTTGTTGTGTTTTTTTAAATCTAGGGTGAGACTGTCGATAACTTTAACTGGGGTGTGCGCCGGCGATCTCTGGACAGCACAGAGCTGGGCGACCTGCTGGAGGAGAGCCAGCACTCAGGCAGCACCCCCAGTCTGGGTCACGAAGACCCTCACGATTCAGACGAGTCATCAGAGGAAGAGGAGTCTTCAACTAGCCAGAGCCTCTCCCATTCTCAGCTTGTGTGTAGCCTTAGCTGCTGAATCAACACATTAAAAATCCTCTGAAGCCTTAAAAGGCTTATTATTTTTCCTGAGTCAACATTCATGATTTGCCTCCCTGTTCCAGACCAACCCGTCTCCATCAGAGGAAACCAATCACACCGATTCTCTGTCTACTTCATACGACACATCTGCTGACCCCCAGTCCCTCAACGCCACCACCCCGAGCCAGGGAGCTCTCCATGATGATCACATTGGTCTACATGTGAGAAATAATAGACTTGGACGTGGATGTGTTGTTTGCCTAGATACATTTTGAAACATCAAAAATGTAATGCTTTTGTTTTCTCAGGTGAGGGTGTGTGGTGAGGACGAGGACACTCAGGCCCAGGATGATGAACTGTCGCTGAGTGTCAACGAGCTCCCCCCCGGCTCCGACTGTGGAGAGAGCTTCACTCTGGATTTGCCGGGGCAACCTCAAAATCAGCTGCCAAATCTGGACCGTGGTCTTAACCCAGACTATTGCCAGCCTCCACTGGATTTTCTAGACCCAAACTGTCTGCCCAGGTAAGTTTGAAAGACAGGATTTAAATATTAATCCCTGCATGCTGAATACACTGCTGGATTGTTGCCAGAGTCTCTGTCAGGGTTTTTCCTACCGTAAAAACTTTTGGTGGCTCACGGAAAGAAGTTTTAGCTCAAGCCAAAGGAAAATCACCAGTTTTGTTGCGTTTGATCAACAATAGAAACTCTGATAATGACCAAAAATGGCAGAAAATGTAGATTTTGTTTAATAGTGCAACAGAAAATGACTCCCAAAGCGTAACTACTAAGCCAGGAAAAACCTAATGGGATATTATTCATGGATGTTTTGCCTATTTTGTCCTATTATTAACATTTTTGAGATATTATTAAACCCTGTTAGATACATTTTTCAAATACTTATCGTACTGGGTGCAAACAGCACAGACTCACTTCTTTCTCATCTCTGTTGTTAAAGCTTGCGTGATGATGTTGATGATTTGGAGGACCTTGGGTTTCCTCCTCCCCCCTCTCCATTTTTTTCCGCCATCTTGGCAGCGTTCCAACCCACGGTGTGTGACGATGCCGAGGAGGCATGGCGCTGCCACATCAACCAGCTTGTAACAGACTCAGATGGGTCATGTGCTGTCTACACATTTCAGGTCTTCTCATCACTCTTTAAGGTACATCACATGAAGGATTACCTTTAGGGGGTTTTTGTTTGTTTGTTTTTTATGTTTGGATTTCTTGTTTTTTGTACACCCATTTTTTCAAGCTATCACTCATATTATGTATAATTATATATTAGATCTCTTCCATTAGCATGAATTACAGTACAGTGTCTTTTTCCAGAACATCCAGGGAAAATTCTGCACCTTAACAAAAGATGTTGCCACTTATCTTGGCGAGGGATTAAGAGGCATTGGATCAAAGTTTCTCAGGTCCTCACAGATGCTCACCACATGCTCAGATTGTCCTACCATTTACATTGATGCTGACACGGTGAGTACAGTTGGCAGACTTCTTGCTGATCACAGTATTGTAGCTGCTTCAGTCTATGGGAGTCTAAAAAACCCCAAAGACAAATCTAATACTGAGCTCATTTTTACTGCTCCTTTCTTCTTGTTGGTCTGTATAGATCATGTCCTACGGCCTCCTCGAAAAGATGAAGTTCAGTGCACTGGAGCTGCAAGAGTACCTGGATACTTACAACACCAAAGAGGAGGCTGCTGTATTGGTAAGTGCACGTTTACTTATTTCCTCCTTCAAATGTGTGCCAGATAAAATATTTACCACCTTTTCTTCTGTCCACTCCTCTTTCCAATGAAGTTTTCCGTTTTTTGTCTTTCAGTGGCTCAGGAACTGTAAGGACACATTTCCCAGATGTCCTGGTGACAGTGTGGTTACCTGCCAACCTGGAGATTCAGAGGAGAAGGTACAAACAACTTTATTTATTATTTACTGTACCAATGAAAGCACAAATTTTTACTGGCAAATTGATTCAGTCTATGTAGCTTAATCTTTGTGTTGTATTAATGGCTTTCTTTCTCTGTGGATTGAAATGTTTGCCCTCTTTGCACGCTGGCTCTGTCTCTATATCGTTATATCCTCCTGAAATTTCTTTTCCGTGCGGGAGTCGTTAAGTTTAAAGTTGCTGTTTTTTCTCTACAGTGTTGATTAATTCTTGGCAGCCTGGCTGTAAACAGTCAGGATTTTTAACTTGCTGTGCATGTGTTTGATTGATACTTTGTCTTCCTCTCACTTCACTCTTGATGCCCTAACATGCTCTCTCGCTGTCTAGCAAATGGAGTCTCTTGCAGTAAGTTCTCTTCACTTCACTCTAGATTCCTCTTAAACTGCTTAATTAACTTTGCACAACTGAATCAGTCTGTTTTGTTGTCACGTGTTTGTATTCCTTTGCATGTGCTTACAACAATTTGTGATTGTGATTGTTTGTGATCTCTGCTTCTGATAAATCTTAGCTTTTTTTGTCACTTGTGTCTTCCAGCAACTGGAGCTTTGTCAGAGGCTTTACAAGCTTCACTTTCAGCTCCTCCTTCTGTTCCAGTCCTACTGCTCGCTCATTGGTCAAGTTCATGCAATAAGCTCCGTGCCTGAGGTGAGTCAAATCATTCTTCATTAAGTGTGACTTGCAGGCTAACAGAGGAACATGCTGGTTCCCTTATGTCTATGTGAGAGGATTCAGAGTCCAAGTAATTCACAATCAAACACATTAAATACCAAGATCTGCATGACTGTTGTTGTTCTAAATGTATTAGTTAAACATTAAATGTCCATCAAATTTGAGGTTTTCTAGGTCAGTGTGATTGATATCAACTAGGGCAATTTCCCCTTGTGACTTGGTCTTTCCTTGTATCATCCAGCTGTATGATAAGGAACATTCTAAGAAAAATGTCTATGATATATAGAGCCACATTATTTTTATTTAAATAGACATATGCTTTTATAAGTATATGTATGGTTTACTAGTTAAATTAAAATGATGTTGACCCTTAGAAAAACCCTGCTACACTGCAGACTTAATCTTGAGCATTTAATCTTTTAATATAGACATAAATTTCACATACACACTCACCCACCACCATCTGTTGTCCCTCCACCTCTTAGCTGCTGAACATGTCTCGAGAGCTTACTGATCTGAAGAGCAGCCTGCAGGCAGCAGAGGCAGCCGTAGCCAGCGACTTGGAACACAAACACTTGGCCCACACTCACTCACACGCCACCCAGGTGGCAGCCATGGTTGTGCCCAGCTTCCCCACCTCAGAGGCAGCGGTGCAGGCCATACTGGAGTGCCTTAGGAACCATGAGTTCACCAAAGCCGTGCGCTACATCCAGGAATGCAGGTGAGCAGCACGAGGCCATCAGCATACATGAGTGTATCCTGGGATTTAATGATTTTATTATTTTGTCTCAATGTAAAAGAACAAATGATCCAAAAAATGACCATGTGAACACACTGTGTCCCCATCACTTTCTCCAATCTTTACAAATCATTTTGAAGTATATAATAAGTAGACATTATAAAGGGCTGTCATTCCTGGCTGAGAAACTTAAGCTTGGGAGATGTTGAGGTCTATCTATCTCTCTTGTGCTTCTGTACGCAGATGATATTGTAGTATTGACAGAATCAGAGCTTCAGATGGCTTTAGATGGAGTAGAAAGATGTTGTATAGACAGGAAAGTGTAAATCCTAATGAAAGTAAAATTTTAATGTTTGCATGAGGTAAAGTAGGACAGTTCTGTGGCTTTAAATTTGGAAATCCTGTAATACAAGTAGAGGAGGATCTAAGGCATAGGTGTCAAACTCTGGCCCGCGGGCCAAATTTGGCCCGCAGCCTAATTACATTTGGCCTGCGAAGCCATACCAAATTATTATTAGAGCTGGCCTACTGGTATTATACAGCTAATATATATATTCTTTAGTATTAAGCTTTGCTTGTTCCATATTCAGTTTTCCAGCAAAACTTGTTTGAGTCCATAAGAAGAGATTCATTCTTAAATCTGGAGGAAGATTTTTTTTTCAGTAAATATTAATGTTAGCCCGAGACTTTGTTCCAGTTTTGAATTTTGGCCCACTGTGTATTTGAGTTTGACACCCCTGATCTAAGGAGCTTGGAATGAAAAGCGACTGAACTTCTTTAAATGTCTTGAAGATGTTTCACCTCTCATCCAAGAAGCTTCTTCAGTTCTAAGACCAAATGATGAAGACTTCCAGATTTTAAGCCCTAGAGGGGATTGCCCCGTAAGAGGGTCGTTGACCCACTATTGCTCATGTGGCTCATCACATGATCCAAGGTGTGAAAAAAAGGGTGTGGTCCATTATCAGCGTAAGCTTCGGGTGAAACCATTGTTAGACCTTGCCTCACCCTATCATTTGACTTATTGAGATCAAGAAGTGGGGAGATTTAAGTTGATAAAGATAAAGTTAAATGTAGGATGATTGGTTTTAAGTTTAGATTATCGAATGGAAATAGGAATAAATTGTACTTTTAATGTCTATTTTTCCAAAGAATCAATATGATAAAGGTGTTTTGAAGTTACGGTTAGGGAAGTTAAAACAAATATTTGATTATACGGGATTTTCTTATTTATGGGGATATACCAGAGTGGTGAATGACCGCTATATAAAAGCAGCTTTTAAGATGAGAATATCCAAACCTGAGGCAAAATTGATAGACCTGATATGTTTAACAATAGCATCTGTATAAATTACAGAATATTTAGGCAAGAGTTCGAACTGAAAAATTACTTGTGTAGTTTATTCTATATGGTGTTATTTGGCAAGGTATAGATGTGGGTCTAGTGGCATTCCTGTACTTATGGACACATTTTTATCAAGTTGAATATATTAATTGTGTATTTATACTTTGTAGCTTGATCCAATGAATCAAGCTACATTGAATATTGAATATAGAAAGTATGTCTCTTTATAGCTACCTGTATTAATTATAATACTTTTTGTGTCCATTTCAGGAGGCAGTGGCCTAACGGAGTGTTTGGCGGAAGCTCAGAGAGTGAGGTTCAGACGCTGCTCAACGTCTACTTCCGTCACCAAACGTTGGGCCAGACGGGCACAATCGCCCTGGTCGGTTCCCGGCAGGACCTCAGTCTGATCTGCTCCAAGCTGCTGGAGCTCAACGGGGAAATCCGCGACATGATCCGCCACGCCCAGGGTTACCGGGTCGTCACAACTTACCTCCCCGATTCAAGTGCCTCCGCGACCAGTCTCTGACAGGACTTCAGGAGCCCCCCACCCCCTCCTTCTCCACCTTTACTCCCTCCATCACTGCAGCCATTGACCCTTCCAAGACAACCTCTGCAATCCTCTCAGCCTGCTCTTACAGAGGGGGCCCAGCACCCACATACCTGGCCCCTGCCGCCTCCTATGTGTCTGCTGCCCCAGATTCACAGCTCCAGGCAGATGCCCACTTACCACCCTGCCCAGCACTAGAACCTGAATTAAACCTTTCATTCCACTCTTCATCCTCATCCACTGCAAACTCTGAGACCTCTTTACTTAATTTTCCCAAACCCCCTGACCTGTTCTCTGCTCATAGCTCCAACACGCCAGGCCAGTCACATTTTACACTGCCGCTCACACAAGAGCCAAAGAGACGTTATCTAGATGAGAACGCAAGCCTTTATTATCCTATCAGAGTACATCCATCATGCAGTTTACCGCAATCACATTTCCACTGCAGCAAACACCCGATATCATCTCTCACATCCAGCTCTCTCCCAACTGTGGCCTCAGCGCCCACCTTGCTCACACACTCTTACACGAACCCATCACCCATTTCTTCCCGGGGCTCTCATCTTCCCCATTTCCCATGCTCTCCGTACAAACACTCAAGCCCGTCCTCGATTCTGCACCCGGGCCGTGACACGGTCTTAACTCACAGCCCTGCATCGAGTTCATCTCTTCCCCCTCCCCCACCACCCCCTCCCTGTCCCACCGGCCCAGGAGAGGCTGCAGCTTGGGGTTGTTGTTGCTCCTTCGGCGGTGCTGCTACGCCTTTGACTCGCTACCTAGGGAAGGTGGGACAAGCTGCCCTGCCCTTACTGACAGTAGGGGGGCTCCTGAATACTGAACCGTCAGATGTCCAAACCTGAGACTTTAAAGTTACCACGCCAGAGGACCTAACGATCCAACATCAGGTCTTTGCATCTGAAAAGTAGACAATGACATACCAGAAATAACTGGACACTTTAAATGTTTAAGGACAGGGAATCATATCCCATGTATAATGGGATTTATCTCTGGATACTACAGATTGCTGCCTGCTGATAAGAATGACCTGATGTGATTATATACAAGCGCAGGCTTTGCTTCTAAAGCTAGATGTCGTGAAAAATAATGTACCTCCTTGTTTAAGTCCCGCTTGACGGTCATAATTCAGCATCTAATCTGTGCTGCACTCCGAGGACCTGTGAAGGCTTTTAGCTTGGACTTAAACTGGCTTCCCAGAGGAACTTTTAGACATGCTTGACACTTGCTGCCTCCTTCAGGAAGGATGAAAGAGACAGTGAGGAAATGAGTCGTGACACTACGTAGCATCACTGGAAGAAGTTTCCTCTGTGGAGTTTTGTTATACGTTTTTTCTAAATGTTGTAGAAAGGAGATCATGTATGTTTTGTTACTGTGAGAGAAAAAGGCTGTCACTTTTATTAAGAAGGAAAAGCCAAATGCTGGAGTGATTTTGTCTCTACTGTTCTGAGGCCTCCTCTGGAGGAAACTGTGCAATGCATGACCCAGCTGAATGCTTTCTACTGTATGCTCCCGTCCTGTCCTTTTCGCCTGGCCCAGACGTCTGACCTCAGACTGATTGAAAGACTTGCTGACAGAGCAGATTCAAAATATTCAAGCGCATTTCTTTACGCTGCTCTTTGGCCTGTTTCTATTATTGATATTCTGTATCAGTGAATCAACTTGTCCCCTGACTACTGTTGTAAACATTGGTAGAGTAATCATGCCATTATCCGTGCGTGGCGTGCACCCCTCCGTGGCTAGCTGTAGCATCTTTAGTGAGCGTAAACACTATATTTCTGTCGACTTGGTGTTCACATGCAGAGAAGATGGCGCATGTACACAGTCAAGTATTTGCCCGTCTGTATACTGCTAATCGTTACTGTCACACAACCATAGTAGGATATGTTTGTGTGGTTTGTATTTACCTTACACGTAAGGGAAATGCTGACATTCTGCACTCATTGTAGATGTGCGAAATGAAACCCACGCTACACACTACTGAATCTGAACTCGTCGTTGTCAGCCTTTTTGTGTGTGTGTGAGAGACTCTCCCTTGGTTCGGATCAAGCAATCATTTTGCTGTTGCTGTACAAATGTCTTCTTTTCCTATTTATATCTGATCAGATATGAAACGACACTTATTTGACTTAAGTTTTATAATGATGTTTGTTCTCTCAAATCAAACTGCCATGCATGCATTTTCTGTTTACTGTATGGAGTGTTTGAAATATTTATTAACAAGATAATTTTATCTGAAAGATACGTTTGTATGAGGTACAAAAGGGAGCCACAAGCTCACGCGGGTATGTTTTTCTTTTTCCTGTGTGTGGGAGAATGTGTTTGCATGCCAAACAAGAAGTTGCACATTTTTAAAGCTTTTTAGATGAAGACAGTAGTTGTTTTTTCACCTTGTAAATATTTTCACAGCCTTTGTGAAGTTGTTTTGAGTTGAAGCTCTGTAAAAGTTGTTAAAGTAAAGACCTATAACTTATGTTGTCTTTTGGTGCTTTATAAATGACTGAAAAACTAATTGTATTCAAGGGGCTCTGCCCTCTTCCTACATCTATCAATGTTCTCTGCAGTCTTCCTCCTTCCTGGCAGCTCCATCTTTAACATCCCTCCTCTACAAATGTCCAAACCCTCTCAGCTTTGCTTCACTGTGTCTCCAAAATGCTCAACCTGAACGGTCCTTCAGGTATATTCATTTCTAATCCTCTCTCTCCTGATCTTAACAGCTTGAAATCTGAACATTTTTAGCTCCGCCAGCCTTCAAACCATGCATCATAGCAAGTCTCACTACTGTCCTTAAACATTTCATTTTACTCATGCCATCTTTGTGTCACTAATAACCTGACACTCATCTTGCCTGACTCCAAGTATTTAAACCTGTCTTCCTCTCATTCACTCACATGTATTCCATCTTGCTTCTGATTTTCATTCCTTTTCTCCCCAGAGGATACCTCCACCTCACCACTAGATCAATGTCATCTGCAAACATCAGTCCACAGATACTCGTGCCCGACCTCTGTCAACTTTTCCATCACCACTGCAAATGTTACACTGCACTCATGCAGCAGCACGGTTTCTCTTGGTGATCCATCACATGCTTACTCTAGATCTACAAAGTTCAACTGCTCGTGAGCATCAACACTCAAACATCACATTTATCGTGCTCTCAGCATGAAGCCCTACTACTGCTGCTTTTGATCAGCAACTTTTTCCCATGGATTTGTGCTACGACCGACAACATTGAATTTTAAAGGTTTTTATCAGCCATTTTTTTTTTACCATGGTTTCACTTTTCACCTGATCTGTACATCAGTTTCAGAACCACAAGCTTGTGCTAAGATATGTGGACTTTGTTCTACATATTAGAGTGCAACTTATTACCTAGACACGCTAGTATTGTTAAAAAAAGAAGCTTGGAGTAATTTAGAAATTGTGCCATCAGTTTGTATGGGAGAACATTGTATCATTGCAGTAGAGTAACATAGTCTACTGTGTATAATAGGCAAGCACCCCATCATTTCCATTTTGACTTCATAGTGTATGTATACATTCAGGAATCTCAACTTTTAAGGTGCAGTGTTTATTTCTTCATACAAAAATAGTTGTCATGTTAGGTACCAGGATCAGTGAGGGGGAATGAATTTTTAAAGTTGGCTCAAACCAGGGCAGCGATTGGAGTGACTCTTCAAGTTTGCTACTGGGGGCGGTGGCAGCTTCTCTTTGTGGCATGACTTTACACATCAGCCTTATTGGTGTAACCTCAGGCTTTCACGGCGGGCAACTTAGACGATGTATTTGAAGCTGTAGGTGGCATCACAGGACAGCTTCATTCCCTTGCAGCGACAGCACAGGTCCTGACGGTGAGGCTTCTTCATGTTAATGTGCCTCTGCTTCTTCTCACAGATGCAGCAAGTCTGAGAGCAACCCTGACAGGGGGTGTAAAAGAACATCACCAGCATAAGAAACAGCACAGGCTTTTCTCATCCCTACGGAAGGATTGCCTTACTGAGACTGATAGTGCCTTAGAAATGTGATCCAGTTTATTTAAATGCCCCACACAGAATCTGACTGACCCTGCGACTCCACTTTAAGTCCAAGTGAACAAATCATCTTGCGAAAGTTCCTCAAAAACAAGTTCACGTACCTTGCACAGGATAGATTCCACTCTGTAGGGGTTAAACCCCACTTGGCACTTCCGGCAGAGCTGCTTGTAGTACACCTGCCAAAGCAGTCGCTCTATTTTAGAAATACAATACTCAGCAGGTATTTGTTTGTGCAATGCTCGTTACCACTAACCTTACTCGTTCCAGAGATGCACCATACATAAGCACTCTCCCACCGGATGTTGCACTTTTTGCAGTGGAAAAACCCATACCTCTGCTCCAGGAACTGGAAAAAACAAAGATAAATAAAATGTGTACAAAAGCTTTTTTACCACAGCTGGGTTTTTCCCTGTGGGCTGCACTGACTGTAAACATTCTGGTGATACTTTTATGGAGAATGTGAGTGAGTGCATAGATTTTGAACTTAACTATCGTGATATGTTTTGAGTTTCCCATTAATAATGGCTCTACCCCGTTACCATTCATACTACAAAGTAGTTAATAAACAAGATAGTTTTTCAATTTAAAAACATTTATGTTTAACTTTTATAAATACAGAACAGTCTGGGCAATTAGTATCTTATACTGCTCTTTATTTCTTTGTATTTTTGAACACGTTATGATCTTTTACACTTCTTAAATCTTAAATAAATTTAGTTTCGTTAGATGTTTTTTAGTGTAAAAAAAGTACAGAGTTAAAATCAGAACAAATTTAAATGAGCCTACGGTGACATTTGCCAATTAACTAAAAGAATCTATATTTTCGGATGGATAATAGGTTTTAAATGACAGTCGTACTAATTAGGCTATAGTTTGAGGGCTTGAACCACAGATGACTGAGGGACTTTTCTGAGTTACATCGTGGATTGGAAAGCTAAAGACAGTGCTCATTGCCATTTCCCCACACGCATCCACCTGAAAGTTGGATCCCTTTGGAGACCGGTGGAAAGCTGTCTTGGAGTCTTCTGGGGCTTCCTCGCCACTTTGATCCCCATCGGCCTCGGACGTGGCCTGCTCGGCGGCGGCTTCACCTTCTCCTTCACCAGCGCAGTCTTCGAGTTTCTTTAGGAAGAGCCTGCGGTCAAACACCGGCGAATAGATGGACACGGGCCTCAGGAAGCGCAGGTTGCTCATTGGTGGCGTGTGGCACTGCGCCTTCTCCTCCGGCGTGGACGCATCGGGGCTCATGGGGAGCTTGCAGGGAGTGGGAAATTCATCGAAAAACAGCGTTTTGGGGCCCAGAGAGCACTGGACAATTTTATCCACCCTGGCGTTCACTTGCACGCCGCACTCTTTGGTGTTCGCCTTCTTGAGCTGAGGGGGTAAACTGGGGTTGACCTGGGACAGGAGGGTCTTGTAGAGCTCCAGGTAGTTGAGGCTCTGGGGGTTCATGAAGCGACCATCTCTCTTGCCCCAGTTGCCGACCTGAGCCGGGGAAGCGCAGACAGGGTTACCATATACATTGTATGGTGGAAACGTGGACAGGAACCCCTCCATCCTGGAGCCATGAAACCAGTCCAACTTCGTCCTCGTGAGATTTATAGCCTACGCGTACCTTCTCTAGGCACTGATTGGTTAATTGAGAACAGCGGCGTGCAGGCTCGAATATAGGTAGAGATACGTTGCCCTCTATTATTTATTAATAATAAGGCTCTGTTGACTACAGCAAGAATTGCTGGCTATGCATTTGAAAGTGTAATGGTACATTTTTGGGGCCATCTTTAAAATTTAAGTTAAATTAAAATTGTTTTTATCAAAAAAACTACAGAAAATCTCTGCTGAAACAAGACTCTGTGCCCAATCCACTTCTGCAGCAAGCGCGATGCTTTATTTGAACGATCCAAATCCGAAATGTTATATTGGAGCTCCCCCTATGGGCTGGCTCATGTTGGCCAGAGACCCATCGGAGAAAGACAAAGCAAGCAGGAGATTAATGAGGCATGCAGTTACATCTTTATTTATTTATTTATTTATTTATTTATTTATTTATTTATTTATTTATTTAGTTATTTATTTTTAGTTGGACGTTATGTGAACTAGCTTGGCAAGAGGGTTGTATAACTTCAGTAATATTGCTTTTTTAGTAAAGCCACTGAAGTCAGAAAATCTATCACTTGAAAGCCAAAAATGTGTTAGACGTATTAAAAATGTGAATGAGTAGGTTAGCAAACAAAGGAAATTGAGAAATAAATACCCATGGGCATTGTCCCATAAATGCGATTTTTATTTTTAAAATGTCTGTGTGAATAAATGACTTTATATGGTATATATTCTAACAGTAGAGGCGCACTTAAAACGCCAGAAGCGCCATTCATCAGCAACTATTTATATTTGTAATTCCAGTTTACACGGGATTAACGTAAATGCACCATTACTGTCATATTCATGCGATCATTTTCACGCACAAACCCCTTTAGTTGAATCATGGGTTGGTGGTGAGTTCAGGCTCTGTCGGAATCCTGGGTTTTCCGTTTGATATGCAAAATAGACAACAATGCCTTAAAGAATAGTGTCAAAACATTATCGTTTGGATGTTTAAAACTCTATTTTTAAAACTGTGGGATTAAATGTAAACTCTGTTTAAGAAGACTAATGTTTTATTTGGCAGGCTTCGTGTATTTTATAGGCCTGTGCTAAATAAAATCCACTCTAAATTAATTTAGTGTGGGTTTTTTTTAATGAAAATTACCTGCTTTTATCTTTAAAGTGCGCTTCACGAGGACTGTTAGATATATTACAGGAACTTTATTTTATATGTGTTTGAATACTCGAAATCTTTTTGGAAATTTTTACGAACAAAAACTGAAAAGGACGCTCCGCGCGTCACGTGAAGGGCTCAGCAGAAGTACCCGAACTCGCCCTATAGGTGGCGCTACCCACCCATCGATGGTTTTTACCCACGGGCACTGAATCTATACATATTGGCGCCATTTTGGAGCTAGGAGGGGGAAGAGAGCTGCAGAGGAGGACACGATTTATCACAATTCACCGTAACAGGTAAGAAAATGCACAAAGAAGCGAATCGTTTTGATTGAAAAGCAGCGATATTTTCGGACGTCGTTGCCACAGAGTCGATGTGATCCAGGATGTATCCGCGGAGCTCCCGGGTTTCCAGCGCTAAAAAAGGCGGAGCAGAGCCCGCCTCGCTCGCCTGTGTTCTCGGCAGCCTTGTCCGATTCACAGCGCTGGTTGACCTGGTCCTGCGGCGGAACAAAAAAATGGTTAGCTAGTAAAATAGTAGTCTGCTGACTGGGCTCCCCGCAGCACGAACAGACAGTGGGGGTCGGGTTGGTTGTGTGAGCGGGCTCGGGATATTGATATGGATATAACGGTAGTTAGCCGGTGTGTTTTGTTCGGTGCAGCGTTACTCTCAGTCCGCCCTCTGTCACTGAGATTGCTCTGCTGCTAACGCTAGCTCGGCACGCTAGTTTTTAGCGTGGATACTAGCGAGCTAACAGCAGCTAGATGGATTAGCCACAGTCAACATTACAGCAATAAGGCACTCTGGCCTGAACACGCTGCTGTACCAATAACAATACCCTCTATTCACGAACAGCTTCCCGACTGTGTGATAAACTCACCCACGTGAAATCGGCCTTGAGAATAAATTATTAGCCTAACTCTGGTAGTGATCTCGTAGTATTTTCGTTGTGACGCTCATTATTGCGGGCTTTTAGTGCAAGGCGCATTACTTTTTTTTTGTTTCTTTAAATTGCAGAGACCTGATCCTCTAGCGGTAATTGTGTATTTAAGGCTTCTCGAGATTTTAAAGACTTTTACTTAACGAGTTTGCGCAACAATGACAATATGAACACAAATAGAAGCTTTGGGGGTGAAAAAGTAGCGTGTGATCAAATAGGACATATTTATTTTTGCAGCTAAGTCGCTTCCAGAAAGCTGTAGGGCATCTGATGTGACAGCTATCAGTCTATATATGTATATGAAAAATATAATCTCTGTATATGTTTTTAATTTTATTATTGCTATTGTTTTTAAATCGCTTCATCATCAGCATTGCGTTTTGATGAGCGGATTAAAGATTGTAAGCAGTCTAAAATATCTGATTACATGGCCATGAAACGCTGGGTTAGATATTTGTTTCATGTGGATTTCTCTACGCACACACACACACACACACACACACACACACACACACACACACACACACACAAACAAACAAACAGAAACAAAATAAATAAATTTTTAAAAAATCCTCTTAAAAATAACACAATTTAAAATCCCAAATAGGATTTTAATGTATTCATTCTTTGTGCGAATTGCAAATAAAATAATGCTACAGGCAGAACTCATTTATCAGGAGCTGCTTTGCACTTCTTCAAGAGATAATTTGGCCCTATTTAAAAAATCAAATGCAGGCTGTGCTCCTTTAAGCATTAACTGAATTGTAAACTGAGCTCAATTATGTTTAGTCAAGCTCTTCCTCTTCAAAACCAAGATTTTCAGTTTGTTTCTCTTTGATGGTTGCCTTGTGGTGAATGGATACAGAGGAGTAATGATGTGTGTGCTGCCTAATACCCGTAGAGATGTGATTCAGCCTTCACTTGTCCATTTCATTTAATCTGAGGAAAAGCTCAACTCTTTGAAAGCGTTTCCCTTCTTCAGCCAGTTTCCATCGCTTTGTTTTTGTGAGAGTGCCCGCGCAGAGGTTGACGAGTTCGCCCTTAAAGCTGGCCGGTGTCCGGTTCCCTCTCTGTTTGCTGACATTCACCCTCATCCCTGTGATCACCCAAATGGGAGGGGGGTTAAAATCAAGGATGTCTCTGTCAGAGTTCGAATTAGGTTCAAAGAATGGAAAGTTCTCACATTTCTGCTGGCAGCTGCCTTTAAAAGACAAAAGTGGGAAGAGCATAAGCAACTAATGGGGGGCAGGAAAGGCTTTCGGTGGGGGGGATAAATGTGTTTTTACTGTGATAAACCAGTAATAAGCTGAAAGTAGCTCATGTTCAGGAGGCTGTGTATGGGACAGCTTGCTCCTTTGTGATTATTTAGTGCTGGTTCCCTGGTGGATGGTACCCACGCAGCCTCCTTAGGTTGAGAAATAATCTGCTGTGATTGGCTGCCAGAGCTCAACTGTGTATCAGTGTGGCAGAATGAGAGAGGGATGGACTCAAATTTGGCAGCAGCTGTGGGTGGAAAAGAAGGTCAGAATCAAGCAATCTGGCAGCTTGCCAATGTCCTGTGTGTGTCTGTGTGTTTTTGTAAAAGCTCAGCTACAGAAAACTGTTTGGTTGTGATTCATAACTAGGTTTTGGAGTCTGGTCTCTAAATCAAGCGCTTTTGTCAGACGGCAGACCCACTGACCGAGGCCGCTTCATAAATCAGTTTTTCTTTCGGGGTTAAAAGTAGCTGAAATTGAAGGAACAAACGGTTCAGTTGTGAGAGAAGAAAATCATCTGTTCATTTTTCAGGGCTTCTTATAGATGCATATGTGCAGTGTTTTGTTTTTTTTAATTGTATTTTGTTATGTAGTTGTATTGAATAAAACAACTACATTTTTTTTCTTAACAAGCAGAAGGAGATAATATTAGAGCCAAGTAAAACAAAAAACATTTGGCTAAATTTCATGCTGCCTGGTCTGAACTGTGGATCAGCCTAACATATGCCTGTCAGGGAAGCTGAAGTGAGCAGTTGGATGAGGAGGATCTCGGTTTGGCATTTTGTGCACTTTCCAAAGGAATCGTACAGATTTCCCCACTAAAAGGTACTTATCTGTTATGGTAAATGGACTGGTTCTTCTATGGTGCTTTTCTTTTCTACTTGAGCACTCAAAGTACTTTGTACAACTTTCCTCATTCACCCATTCACACTCATTTATATGAGCGGGGTTTTTTTTGTTTTTTTTTTTTTGTTTTTTTTTACTAAGCTTAAATGCTTTCTGTCTAACACTTTCACACATTCACACTCCAATGAACGCATGAGAGAGCAACTTGTGGTTCAGTAGCTTGCTCAAGGATACTTTGGCATGCAGGCTGGAGCAGCCAGGGATCGAATCACCAACCTTCGAATTATATTGAAAGGTTATATTTTGAAAGCTCCAAGTAGGATACTGGGGTTTGTGAAATGAGTTTTTACTTTTGAGCAGACGTGATGCCTTTTTACAGAGAGATATTGCAGAGGTATTAATAGATATTATTGTAGGATCTTTACTTTACAATATGAAGTACCTGTTGTTGTAATTTGTTGCTATATAAATAACATTGAATTGAATAGAGATCTATATGCACGCATAACCACAGGATTGCAGAAACTAAGATTGGGATATGATCCCTTTTTCCAGAATACCCAACCGTAGTCTGGGTTTCTGCAGTCATATAGCAGTTTGTCACACCATGTCATGCACATTGCTTGACAGCTGTCTGTCATATTGGTGGTTGGTGAGTAATTCCTGGATGTTGCTGGTGGTTATTGGGTGAAATTGGTTACAAAGAAGAGATTTTTGCTGCACCAAAAATCTCTGCAAACGTGCTAGCCGAGCAGTGGTAAACTTGGAAAAAGTGTGAAGAAAACTGCATTTGCCTTCAGAGTAAAACTTGTTTCAGCACGACAGTCAGCAAGTTTTGCAAAAGCCTGGTTTGTACTTTGAAGGCAAACTGTCTCAGTTTTGGCAGTTTTCACATTATCACTGCTACTGGAGGAGTAGCTGGCGAGTGTTTGCAGACAAGCTGGCGTGTTCTGTGCATACTACGAGTGACAGCAGAATCAGCTAGGAACCAAAGCAGCAAGGTGGTTTTCACCAGTTGTGGATACTCCATTTTTCTTTCCTTCATGACCAGTGGTTGCCAG